CTTTCAACCTTGGCCGAGTGAGGTACTCGGGAGGGATTCAAATGCTCATCCTTGGCCGAGCGAGTGTGCTCGGGAGGGAATTCTTTCTACCTCGGCCGAGTGAGATACTCGGGAGGGGCTTAAATACTCATCCTTGGTCGAGCGAGTGCGCTCGGGAGGGAATTAGATATTCATCCTTGGCCGAGCGAGTGTGCTCGGGAGGGATTTAGATATTCATCCTTGGCCGAGCGAGTGCGCTCGGGAGGGAATTCTTTCAACCTCGGCCGAGTGAGGTAATCGGGAGGGATTCAAATGCTCATCCTTGGCTGAGCGAGTGTGCTCGGGAGGGAATTCTTTCAACCTCGGCCGAGTGAGGTAATCGGGAGGGATTCAAATGCTCATCCTTGGCCGAGCGAGTGTGCTCGGGAGGGAATTCTTTCTACCTCGGCCGAGTGAGATACTCGGGAGGGGCTTAAATACTCATCCTTGGTCGAGCGAGTGCGCTCGGGAGGGAATTAGATATTCATCCTTGGCCGAGCGAGTGTGCTCGGGAGGGATTTAGATATTCATCCTTGGCCGAGCGAGTGCGCTCGGGAGGGAATTCTTTCCACCTCGGCCGAGTGAGGTACTCGGGAGGGGAGTGTATTTCATCTTTGGCCGAGTAGTAGGCACTCGGGAAGGGTTAAGTGATTCGACATGATTAAATTGTTGCCAAGTAATTTCTGAAAAAAGGAGCTGGTTTCATTGATATGGAGCCTCGTTAAAAACCTTTGTCAGTAAAACCTCTTTCACATTCTTATAGGAGGAAAAAACCTGACCAAGAAAAAGAGTGCTCCGAAACAATTTACATAAGAGTTTACTAGCTATAGTAATGCTTTAAGTGAGTTGCGTTCCATGTCCGAGGGATGGCTTTCCCTGTGAGTTCTTCTAACTTGTATGCTCCATTTTGCAAGTCGTGCATTATACGATAGGGGCCATTCCAGTTTGGTGCCAACTTTCCTTGGGTCTTGTCCCTACGTGCTTCGCCTGTAACCCGCCAAACTAAGTCCCCGGGCTGAAATCCTCTTGGCTTGACCTTCATCCGATACTTCCTACTTATCCTGGTTCGACAAGCCTCCATATTGATGAGTGCTTGATCACGAGCTTCGTCGACTAAGTCCAGCTCTATGTTGAGTGCTTGGCCATTGGCTTCTTCGCCAAACTGTGTCCGTCTCAAGGAGGGTTCTCCGACTTCCACTGGGATCATGGCATCTGTGCCATAAGTCAACCGGAAAGGGGTCTCTCTAGTTGAGGTTTGCGGGGTGCAACGGTATGCCCACAGGATTTCTGGTAGGCAATCGGGCCATGTCCCCTTGGCCTGGCCGAGTCGTCGCTTTAGCTCCTTAAGTACGACCTTATTTGCCGCTTGCCCATTCGATTGTGGGTGCTCTACTGAAGTCATCTTATGCTTAATCCCCAGCCCAGAAAGAAAGTCATTAAAGCGGTGATCGGTAAATTGTAGGCCGTTATCTGTGATCAGAGCGTATGGGATTCCGAAGCGAGTTATAACATTTTTCCAGAAACATTTCTGCAAATTATTGGCCGTGATGGTGGCCACTGCCTCCGCCTCGATCCATTTAGTGAAATGATCAATGGCCACAATGAGAAACTTAAGTTGGCCCTTCGCGGGTGGGAAGGGTCCCAAGATATCCATGCCCCAGGTAGAGAATGGCCAAGGGGTGATAATGGAGTGCAACTCTTCTGGTGGTTGATGTGTCAAAGGCCCATGTTGCTGACAGGGTTTACACTGCTGTACAAACTTGACACAGTCTGCTACTAGTGTTGGCCAATAGTATCCGGCTCGGATGACCTTTGTTGAGAGAGTGCGGCTTCCCGAGTGAGTTCCACATATGCCTTCGTGGATTTCTCGAATCACGTAGTGCGCCTGTTCGGGTGGCAAGCATTCAACAATGGTGACGAGATTCCTCTCTTGTATAAGTCTCCAGCGATGAGGGTGTATCATGCCGCCGTGGTTCTCATCTTCTTTGCCTCCAAGGGGTCCGTCGGCAATGACCCAGTTTCCAGGTATTTGACAATTCCGGTCATCCAAGTGTCTTCCCCCTGCTGGAGCTGTAAACACTCAGCCTCCCCTATACTAGGTGCCTGTAGTTCTTGTTGTATGATGCTGCGCAAGTGGCTTGTCTTTTTGCTGCTTGCCAATCTGGCCAGTTGGTCGGCTCTCACATTCAGTTCCCGAGGCGTGTGCTCAATTTTGACTTCTTGGAAGTTGTCTTTTAGCTTTTGGAACTTATGGAAGTATAAAAGCAAAGTCGGCTCTTTGATTTGGAAAGTGCCGTTGACTTGTCCCGTTACAACTTGTGAGTCACTCCAGCATTTGATCCTGCCGACACCTAATTCGCTTGCCAATCGCAGTCCGGCCAGGAGGGCTTCGTACTCGGCTTGGTTATTGGAGGTCTTAAAACCGAACCGTAATGACTGTTCAATTACTACTTTACCAGGGCCCTCGAGTATGATTTCGGCCCCACTACCCTGCAGATTCGATGACCCATCCACATGCAACGTCCAGACGTGCGGTTCAGGCGGTGCCTCAGGGGTGAATTCGTTTATGAAGTCGGCCATACTTTGTGCCTTGATGGGACCTCTTGGTTCAAAACGAATTTTGAATTGCGACAATTCTACCGACCAAGAAACCATACGCCCTGCCAGTTCAAGCTTCCGCAAGACCTTGACGATGGGGGAGTCCGTCCTGACAACTATTTTGTGGCTTTGGAAGTAGTGCCGAAGACGACGGGCCATGTGTACGAGAGCTAGGACTGTTTTCTCAAGATGCTGATATCTGGTCTCTGCTTCTTGTAGAACTCGGCTGATGAAATATACCGGTATTTGTTCCGTTTTCTCTTGTACTAAGACCGTGCTGATAGCTTTATCTGACACGGAGATATAGACGATCATCTCTAGAAGGGGGTTTGGTTTGGCTAATAGGGGCGGGGCCGCCAACCTTTTCTTGAAGTCCTGGAACGAAGACTCACACTCCTCCGTCCATTGGAATTTTCTTGCCTTTTTTAACAAAGACATTATCGGCCTTGACCTTTCCGCCATGCACGGCAAGAAACGAGCCAGGGAGGCGATACGGCCAGCTAGCCGTTGGACTTCCTTTACGTTGCGGGGGCTTCTCATGCTGATGATTGCCTGACACTTGTCGGGATTCGCCTCTATGCCTCTCTTGGATAGCATGAAACCTAAGAATTTTCCCCCGGCGACTCCAAAGGTGCACTTGGCCGGGTTCAACCGCATATGATGTCACCTTACTTCGTTGAAAATGTTGGTGAGATCTCTCAAGTGGTCATCTGGAGATGCCGACTTAATCACCATATCATCAACGTATACCTCCATACAAGATCCGATCTGTCGACGGAAGATCTTGTCCATGAGACGCTGGTAAGTTGCTCCAGCGTTTCGCAAGCCGAATGGCATCACCCTGTAGCAATAATTTGCCGAATCAGTGATAAACACGGTCTTGTCTTCATCGGGTGGGTACATGGGTATTTGATTGTATCCCGAGTAAGCATCTAGGAAGCTTAATCTTTGATGGCCTGCCGCCCCGTCGACAAGCGCATCAATGTGTGGTAAGGGATAGGCATCCTTCGGGCATGCCTTGTTCAAATCTGTGTAGTCGGTACACATCCGCCACTTTCCGCTTGCCTTCTTGACCATAACCACGTTGGCTAACCAAGTCGAATATTTAACTTCTCGGATGAATCCGGCTTGCAACATTTTATCCGTCTCTTCTCTTACCGCCTGAGCCCTCTCTCCTCCCATTTTTCTTTTCTTCTGGGCGACGGGCTTGGCATCTCGGCACACGGCGAGCCGATGGCAGTGAAAACTTGGGTCGATACCGGGCATGTCGGCCGCCGTCCAGGCAAATAGATCCGAGTATCTCAAAAGGATTTGGCTAATTTCTCTTGCTTCATCCTCCGTCAGTTGAGAACTCAGGTACGTGACCTGTTCCTCGCTTCTTCCGAGTTGAAAAGGGATTGTCGTCTCGATTGGTTCGACTCGGTGCTCGTCTTCAATTCGTGGGTCGAGCTCCAAGTCTATGACCGGATCTTGGAGACGGACGTCTCCTATGGCGTTGACTTCTCGTCTCGGCTTCGGAGTTGGTTGCACTTTTAAGCTAGCGAAGTAACATTCACGAGCCGTCTTTTGATCGGCATGCAGTGTGATAACCATGCCTTCTTCCAAGGGGAACTTCATAGCCAGGTGGGGAGTGGAGACGATAGCCCGGAGCTTGTTCAGGGAAGGTCGGCCCAACAAGATGTTGTACGAGGTGTTAGCATTCACCACCACGTATCGTACCTTAATCCTTCGCCTTGGCTGGTCATCTCCGAAGTAGGTGTATAGGTCTATCGTCCCTCGGGTGTCCACTCTTTCACCTGAAAATCAAACCAGGGGCTCGTTATAAGGTGTCAACTCGTGTTCGGGTATACCTAGCTGTTGAAAGGTTTTCCAATACAAGATATTGGTTGAACTTCCCTGATCCACCAGCGTTTTCTTTAAAATACAATTGTTGATCTTTACACTGATGACCATGGGGTCGTCCTGCACCGGGTCAACCCCCTTGAAGTCCTTGTCGGTGAAGGTAATTGGCGGCATATGGATCGATCCTACCCGCGTTACTGCGTTGACTGATCTGATTGCTCTTAGGTGTCTCTTTCGTGCGGAAGATGTGCTTCCACCCCTGCAAATCCTCTGGCAATTGTGTTTATGACCCTCCTAGGTTGATTTCGATCTTGTTGCCTATCGTTTCTCTCTAGGGTCCTGCTCCGTTCCCTGGACCTGTGCCTCGGAGGTGCCCTTTCACGGTTCCCCCTTCCGGACTCCCTCTTATCATGGAAGTTGTCGTACCTCTTCCGACTTGAGGGTTAGGTGAAGTTTTGTAGATGACCGGACTTGATGAGATCTTCAATGCGGTCTCGGAGGGCCGTGCATTCCTTTGTGGTGTATCCTCGGTTCCTGTGGAACTAGCATGTTTTGGTTTTGTCTGCGTGGGGTGGGGTCATAGCGCGGCGGGGCACCGCGAGGATCTCTATGGCCAATGCCTGCTCTAACACCTTGGTCCTACTGGTGTTGAGTGGCGTGTAATGTGCATACCGGGGACCCCTGTTGGTTCTATCTCGATCAAGTACGTCTCGGGGACGAGGCCTTGGAAGATGCTCCTTTTCAGCTTCTTTCTTTCCCGGGAGAAGGTCGGCCCGGTTCTGATTTCTGAACTCAGCCAATTCTTCCATTTGCATATACTTAGTAGCTCTTTGTCGAAGGTCGTCCAAATCTCGGGGCGGCTTCTTGCATAGGTTGTTTACAAAAGGGCCCGGTCTCAACGCCGTGATGAGGTGATGCATGGCTACCGCCGGATCGAGGTCTCGGATTGAAAGGGTCATTCTTCCGAACCGTTCCATGAAGGTTCTTAGGGGTTCTTTCTTTTCTTGGCGGATATTGACCAATGCAATTGAAGTGAGCTGATGAGGTCGACTTGTGGTGAACTGTATTACGAATCGGGAGGACAAGGTTGTGAAAGAGTCTACCGACCCTGGTGGGAGTCTTGTGAACCAATTTAGGGCCGGTCCCTTTAAAGAGGTGGGGAAAATTTTACACATGATCGCGTCGTCATCGGTGTACAAACCGACTTGAGTAACAAACGCATCGAGGTGTTCTTCGGGATCGGCGGTTCCATCGTATCTTTCTAAGGTCAAATTCTTCCAATTGTCGGGCAATCGGGCTCCGGCAATATCCGAGGTGAATGGTGTCCTCCCCTGCTTCCTCTGCTGATCCATGGTTGTTGTCGTCCCTCCACCAGGTGGTTGAGGGGCCTTCGTTTCTTTGTACCACCCTGACGACTCCCCATGGTCCCGAGTGGATTGGGTGTTGGGGGTGTCATGAGAAGGGTGCACGACCTGTTGTCACTTCTGAGCTCGGCATTCTCTCTTTTAAGGATCGATAACTCGTGGGCATCCTTTTCTCGGAGCTTCCTGAGTTCCATCATTTTAACCTTCAGCTGCTCGATGGCCGACGACGGGTTGGGTTGTTGGGATCGGTCCACATACGATTCTTCCATTCCTTTCTCGTTCTGATTAATGTGTCGTCTAATGGTGTCGCGTGGCATCCCGAAGGGGTGGTCAGCTACATTTTCTTGTTGACTCCTGGTTGTCACCATCTTGCTTCCGGGGTCGAGAACCGTTTTTGGTTTTCGGCCCCACGGTGGGCGCCAAAATGTTCTTGCGTAGAAACACTCCTTTTATCGTTCTTCCTTCTTGGTCTTCTGAGTCCTCGTACCGACCGAATACTGTCCTCGAGAGGTGGGGAGGGTACCTGCAAAGGCACTCCAACGATCAAGTGAGTATTCGGTATAGAGCAATAAGTGCTTATATTAGATGATAACCTACCTCCTTTATATCCCATCACCTGTGTATTTATAGTGACATGTTTGGGCCTGGTGGGCCTTCTGTGTTGGGAGATGGGTAATGATCTTAATTAACGTTAATTTCTGTTGATTAGAACTAACAAACGTTGCTTTACCTTGCTAATAACATGAATTGTCCTTCTGAAGTGTCCTCGGCCAGGTTCAAGGCCTAAGGGGTATTCGGCCAAAACCAGAGCCGAAAGAGTGTTCGACCAAAACCAAAGTCGAAGAGCGGCT